ACATTTGGATCCAGACTCAACATTGGGCTTCAGACATTTGACGAGGGATTATCTGGGACTTGTACCGAAGACTTGGTGTTGACGACATTTCCATCTTCCCCCTCTTCTTTGTCTGATCCCCTCCTCTTCGTTTGTGTATGATCTGGACCTGGCGCATTCTTCATGTGTGTAGCGCCAGGCCCCCTCACACCTTGTGATGAGGATGATGTATGTTTGGTCTGCATTGCGACATTGATTGGGCTAGTCATTGGTATTCTAGCATTCCGCTGCGGTGTCTGGTACTATGTGAGAGAGGTCAGTCCCGGTCAGGTCAGGGCTTAAATCTAAGTCTTCCACTGCGCTACAAGGTGCCATTTTGTATGTATCAGGATGTACATTGCTTGTTGAGATTCCCCTAACATCGCATTGTCTATTCAGTCCCTTCTATCACATTGCGGATCCTTGGCTATACATACATTTGCAATCAGACTCGTACTCATTCACACTTTTCGTGCATGTAAACAGCAACGCAGCAAACTGGCGACATGCGCCCTCTCAAAACTCAGAGATATGGCTTCCAGATACGAGTTCACTTCCAACTGGCTATGGCGACTCAGCGCCCAAACAACTCACTGTTCACACACACCGGATCACCCTGGATATCCCACACGCGTCACTCTGAACATACACACACACTTCCTACAGCTATGTCAGCTATGGCTGCCTCTACCCTATCGCTATACTAACTCCTCCTCTCTCGCCCACTGCGTCCTTCGGGCTCACTGCAGACCTCCTTGCACAAGTCGCTGTGACAGCGCTTCCGCATGGCTCACGCAGGAATGAATGAAAGGCTGGGCGCTGCCTCTTGATTTATACTTCAGAAACTCGTTGGTCTGCCCTTTGCCATCGGCCCATGGTGCTCACAGTCCCCCGTGGTACTTGCTGGACCGGACTGGGACTGACTGGACTCATTGCTATCCTACCGAGGTAGTACTGCGATTGCACTGCAGTTTAGTCCACCACTTGCCTTGCCACTTGACCACTTGCCCACTTGCCGACCTTCTAGAAGGACTACAGCTAGACTTCTGGAACTCGCTAAGACTTCTACTCTATAGACCTACAGATCGAACCCCTGCTGCCTATGAACCTACGACAGACCTACCAACTGTCTACGAATACACAGGTCACAGGTTTAACTCTCGGGGTTTACACAGATACTGTACATGGGTAGGACGAGGTCTAGGGATCAAACCCTGGGTACTGCATCTGCTATTGCTAAAAGGTGAAAACCGTTTCACTCCCGCCGTCCTAAATTCGAGGTCCTCCGATAATATTTTAGTCCAAAGCAGGACCTTTGCCTTTCTTATCACGCTCGTAGGCTCTGACCATGTCGGGAGCTGTCTCTAGAAGTTCTGTTCTTGTAAACCAGCGGTCGTCTTCCGGCTCCTGATAAGCAAACCGGACCTTATACTGTTTCTGGGGACGACCTCTACCTCCTGTTCTGAACACTTCCTCATCTACAATGCCGTCAATGTCATAACTCCCATCCATATCCGGAGGGAATATGGATCTTCTTGAAAGGAACTGTTGACTTGTGACACACGGCAACAGCTTTGAAGCATGAAATACAGGGTATGTGTGGAGGTGTGCTGGAATTTCTATTGTGTAGGACGCTCCATCCTCTCCGCCCTTGACTTCTAGAACCGGCCACGGTCCTCTATATGCAGGGAGTAACTTCTGCGAGATGTTTTCTTCCGGTGCAAACTCTTTTGCTTTGACCCAGACTAAGTCGCCTACCTGAAACTGCGACGGGCGGCGATGCTTATTAGCTTGCTCTACCATTCTATGCTGGGCCTTCCTAAGGTTCTCAACAACAGTTGCTAATTCTTTCTCATGCGGTATCGCAAACTCCCTGGTACCGGGCGGTAGTCTGTGAATCTGATCCCGGTTCAGTCCTTCGAACGGTTTGCGCGGTCTAAAGGGCTTGTGCAGCTCATTAGGAGTGCGGCAGGTGGATAGATGCACGCTGTTGTTGTATGCACTGGCTACCTTAGGCAACATCTCATCCCAGTTGATCTGATCTGGTCTAATGTACATGCGCAGAACTTGCTGTAGGATCTTAGTCATCTGTTTTGTCTTACCGTTGGTCTCTAGATGGCGGCCAGACGACATTAACAACTTAGATCCGTAGACTCTCATGAGTTCTTGCCAGTTCTGGCTGGTGAAACGACTATCTCTATCGCTAATTATTGACAATGGGATTCCATTCTCACTAACCCAAAAGTCAAAGAACTTCTGTATAACTAACTTTGTACGTGCCTCTGCAGGCAAAGGAACAAAAACTGCGTACTTACTAAATCGGTCAACTATGACCATGACTTGGCTCTTACCATGTCTACTCTTGACTTAGGTGTCCATGAAGTCTATGGACACTGAGTCTCCCGGCTGATCCGGACTAGGCAAGGGTCTGAGAAGACCAAGGGGTGCGCGCGTAGTAGTCTTATTACGCTGGCATACTTTGCAACTGCGGACATACTATAGGCAGTCATTCTTCATTCCTGGCCAAGTGTACGCGCGCATTAGATTAGCTAGTGTCTTTTGCCAACCAAAATGCCCCTCTGTATCGTGACATTCCCCCAGGATCAAACTGCGGATCTCTTTGCTGTTGGGGACGCATAGGCGGTCAAATACGTTAGTCTTCTCAAACAGCAATCCGTCTGTAGTGCGGTAATCTGGCTCAGTCTCTGGGGCCTCTCTAACTCTCTTTAGGAGGTCGTTATAGATAGGGTCCTGCGCATACGCTTGCTTCACTTTCTCCTGTAGGTCTCTCCCTATATCCAGATAGTGTACTATGGCTCCAAAGCAATCTGATCTTCTACTCAGAGCGTCCGCAACTACGTTGTACTTGCCCTTCACTGGCTTAAGCTCAAAGTCATATTGGTCTATCTCTGCGGCCCACCTAGTCAACTTAGGTGTCATCTTGGCCTGAGTCTTTAACCATCTAAGGGTCTCGTGGTCAGAATACACTTTGAAGTGCCTCCCAAGCAGGTAATGCTTCCAATGCTCTAGAGCCTGCCTGAGAGCGTAGAGTTCTCTCTCGTACGTCGAGGTGGCTACCTTCTCTGAGGGCATCCTCACGGACATGAACTCTACGGGTCTATAGCCATTGCCGTCATCTTGCTGCAACACGACGCCTATTCCATACTGACTTGCGTCCGTGGTGACGACAAATGGCAAGGACGGATCTGCTACTTTGAGGACAGGGTACTTTATTAACATGCACTTCAGTTTCTTTAGCGCAGACGTACAATCTTTGTCCCATTGCCAGATTGCCTCTTTCTTAAGCAACCTGCGCAGGGGACCGGCGATAGTAGAAAAGTTCCTTACGAACTTTCTATAGCAGTTAGCTAGGCCTAGGAACGACCGCAACTCTGTCAATGTGCGGGGCGTCGGCCAGTCTCTAATCGCCGCAATCTTGCTGTCCTCTGGCTCAATGCCATCTCCGTCTAATACGTGGCTCAAGTACAGGACTTGTGTCTTGTTCCACTCACACTTCTTCGCGATGATCTTGAAGTTAGCCCCTCTAAGCTTCTCCAAGACTTGCCTCAGATGACCCTGGTGCTCCTGGAGGGTCTTACTGAAAACTAGGATATCATCTAGATAAACTACTACAAACTTATCTAACCATGGTCTAAATTGGTCATTCATACAACGCTGAAAAGTAGCTGGCGCGTTGGTTAGTCCAAAGGGCATCACTATAAACTCATAGTGCTCGTAAGGAGTTCGGAATGCAGTCTTGTATTGATCATCAGGATGGACTTCTATCTGATGATAACCGGACTTCAGATCTATCTTAGAAAAATACTTGCAACCCTACACCCGATCTAAGAGATCGTCTATCCTGGGCAGTGGATCAACATTCTTCACTGTGATATCATTCAAACCCCTATAGTCTATACACATTTTAAGCTCTCCTTCCTTCTTGGGGACAAACAAAATTGGTGCTCCAAAAGGACACGAAGTGGGCCTGATCCAACCTTTCTCTAGGAGCTCGTCTAACTACTTGCGCAGCTCCTCTAACTCTCTAGGGGACATCCTGTAGATTGCTCCCTTAGGAGTTCTACTGCCAGGCTCTATCTCTATCCTGTGCTGGATGGGTCGCGACACTACTCCTGTCGGCGACTCGGTTAAGTCTTTGAACTCCTCCAGCAGCTTGGCTATGGTTGGATCTGTGGAGCTCACTTCTTCCTTAGCCTCAGTGGCATGTCTAACATCAACTACACAAACCTGTTCCTCTAATCGCTCCTTCTTCACTAATCGCGCGAACGTGGGAGCACTGAGACAACAATGTGCCAAGGTGTTATCTACACCTGGCACATGAAACATGCGGGCAGTCTTAACATCGCCTGATGGACTAGGGAGCCTACACTCACGCTCTCTCAAGTGGAGTGTGGCTCCTGCTGCCTCTCCCCAATCCATTCCCAATACCACATCGAAAGGAAGGTCATCTTGTACGAGGAAAGTCAGGGAATGGAGAACTTCCTCTCCACCTTCCCATCTTCCTCTAGGCGAAAATACGCTTGGACTCCCTCTATGTAGTCCTCAACTCGCATCGTGCGGTTGTCTGCGAGGACACTGACTATAGGGTCTGCTAACTTTTGGACTTTCAATCCTAGCCTCAACTTCTTCAGCGCCCTACGGCTAATATAACTGCGGGTGGCCCCTGAGTCTATAAGGGCCCCTACTCTGCTTCTAAACACCTCTACGTCTACCAAGATAAGTTGTCCTTTACTCTCCTTCTTCATCTTGGCCCAGGCTGGCATCCTCTCCTTTAACTCTTCTGCCACACCTGTGAGGGACGTGCCTAAAGAGACGCTAACACAGGCGGTCTCTGGACAGCTAGCTAGGCATGGGCCTGCGACCTCTGCCATAGGCTCCTGTGGGTTGGGAGTGTCCTGTTCTCGCGCGCTCACTTCTCCACATGGCCTTAGAGTAGGGGCAGTTGCGACCCCTACTGGCGGCTGCCTTTTGACTGCTGGGCAGCCCAACGGGCCTGTCTATACTTAGGACAAAATTTAATAACGTGAGTCGGGTCACTACAAAACACGCACTGACCCAGGTTCACGCGTTCCTGCCATAACCCCTGGTCCAAGCCAAAGTCCTCCCAGGGCCTGCCCTGTGGCAAGCCTGGGTGCCATCCTCCCTGAGGTGCCCTTCCACCTCGTCTCTGTGGGGACCGATTTCCCTAGCGATTTGGCAGGGGACCTTGACCCCTACCTCCCACTTGGCGGTTTCCCTGTCCGCCAACCCCCTGTGCGCCCGGTCCTCAACCTCCTCCCCTACCTTGCGGCCTCCCTCCAGCCGCGACATCAGCATAAGACCTCCCCTGTCCCACACTACTGTCCTCCTCCTCTAGGCCCCACTCAATCTGACTGTAGGGGACCTCGTCAGTACCACCTTCTTCTAAAGTAAAGATTATGTGATCCTTGGCCCTCACCTGGCCTAAGATGGTACGGCCTTTCTACCTTTTTCCCTTATCCAGGTCCTTATGCCAGAAGGTGGTAACTGGCATGGACCTCGACTCATACAGGACGACTTCTCTACTCAATGCATCATAAGTGATGCCGGCCTGTTGAGACTTGTCAAAGAAATGCCCACGCAGGGCCTCTGGCATGGCACGATAAAATAACTGAACCAACTGGGGCTCAGTGATCCCATGGTCCGGGACGGCTACCAAGTCGTCCATGGTACCCTTGAGTGCTCTTGCACTCCTCCACTGTCGTGAGTGGATTGTTTGCAGCTTATCAGAGGCGCGAACGCCTCTCGTTGGGTTTGCAAAACGCTCCTTCAGGAGCTTGAGGAATTGAGGAAGGGGGTGACTTTGGAGTATGCAACCAGGTTGTTCTCACAACCGGCTGCGCGCGCAAGGGATCTAGCGAAACTAGCCGCTTCATCTTTGAGGGCCTGGAAGGCCACAAGGACTTCTTCTTCTGTCAGGATGTGCTGTATGTCAAAGTTCTCCTCCTTCTTTCCCCCGTAGGCGTTTGGGAACTTGAGCTTGACGGGCTCCTTACGGGGTCTAGCCTCACTGTCTACCACGGCAACTGCTTTGGCGCTCTCGATAGGGCTCTCACAAAACTTCCCTACATTGTCCCTCAATTGCCTGACTTCGCCCCCAATATGGGTGACAATCTCGCGTGCAAACTCTCTAAAACCTGACCGCATGGCTTTCAGGGTGATATCTTGGCCCTAATTGGCGTGCGGTTCCTCTAGCCAGGCCTCACTCAACACCTCTAAGTATCCCAACATCTTATCCATCTTGGCATAAACATCTGCCTGCGCCTGGACTTCCTGTCCACACGCCCGCACCTTTTCCACCTCTGCGGTCAACTGGTTGGCTTCCTCCCTTCTCCTATTCTTCTCCCTTTTCATCCTCAGTTTCCACTCGTCTCTTCTCCTCCTCAACCTCTTGACGTTCAAGGGGGTCCTCAATCACTTCGAGGGCCCTGGCAAACGCCTCTTTCTCTTCCTGTGGCACATACATCTGTGCCCCCTCATCTTCCCCCAACGATAAATTAGCAACCCACTCACTAATCTTCTTTTCCATCTCTGCATCTTTATCTCTCTTCGTGCCACTGCTCCCTTCTCTGCTCTCAATACGCATCCTCTCTTTTTCTTCTTCTTCTGCTGCTTCTTCTTCAACAACCTTTTTCTTTTTCTCCATCTCCTCCAATTCCTTCATGTTCGCCGCCTGCTCGTCTGCGATAGCCTTTAGCTTCGCCTGCTTCTCGCGCTCTTTCCTCTCTCTATTTTCTCTCACTAAGGCGGTCATCCTTTCTTGTTGCTCCTTGCTGTAGGGGCTAGTGTCTAACCCACTACGGGTCTCAACCATGGTGATAAGTGTACAACCGGATTAGTCGTTCCAAACCTCACCACGCAGACTCTGACCCCTGACTGACAAACCTACTGACTCAGTCTAAGGACTTACAGAATCCTGACAAGGACCCTGCCAACTATGGTCTCTAGCCTAGACCTAACTATGGCTGTCTCTACTAGACCTGTTGCTGATCAGGAGGCATTTAAGGAGATCCCCTGAACTCCTCAGGAATTATTTAACGTCGCAGACAGGACGACGCGATCAGCAGGTCTCTCAAGACTTAGACGGTCTGTTGTGCAGCCCACAGCTCGGATTTCGAGGCCTACCGTGCCACACCGAGCAGCCCGCCGGTCAGTACCGGTCCTTGGGAGGGTTTGACCTCCGGGACAGTCGAGTCGTCAGACACGGCCTTTAGCCCTACTCATCCCGTGTGGGTTTGGTCAACAAGACCCTATCCTTCATCCACAGAGTACTATCACCTAGGACAGAAGAGACTCAATGCAGAAAGAATAGACAGACAGACTGGACTCAGGAAGTACCAAGGGGTGTGTGCACATCCATAGGGCAAGGGATAGGCTGAGGGCTTGGCGAGATGTTACCAACTCCCGCTTGGTCAAAGTCTTGGTCAACACCTTGGTCAACGCCGGTCAACGCTGCGGTCAACCTCCGGTCAACTCCGGTAAATGCCGGTCAACACCTCCGGTCAACCTCTTGGTCAACCCTCCGGTCAGCTATGGCTGCCGGCTCCTCTTCCTCGCCAACCTTCTTCTTCCCCTTCACCTTCCTCGCCTCCTTTCACCCCGACTGTCTTCTCCTTCTTCTTCTTTTTTTTTTTTTGATCGGCCCTCTCTTCACCTCTCGGCTATGGCCTCCTTCTCTCCCTTCTCGGTCGCTCCCCCTCTGTCCAGTGTCTCTCCCTCCTTCACTACTCCGTGATGATGCTCCGCGGCTATGGCCGCTTCTTCTTCTTCCATGTGGGACTGCACAGTCCGCCTCACAGGTACGTAACAGCCAAACTTGTATCGCTCATCTCTCGCTCTCTCTCTCTCTCTCTCGCGCGCGCGCGCGCCGTAGCGTTGTCTTCAGCGCAGCAGGTACGTAGTAACCCAATCTTGTATCGCTCAACCTTACTCTCTCTCTCTCTCTCTCTCTCTCTCTCTCTCTCTCTCTCTCT